TCCTGGGAAAATTCTAGAATTTATTTTTTTACAGTGTCTTGATTTCTCATAAAGTCACTAGCTTCCAATTGCTCTATTCTAATTTTTAAGGAAGTATTTTCTTCAGTAGTCTTTTGGACTTCCTTTTCCATTTGGCCAATTTTTCTTTTTTAGGGCATTTTTCTCCTCATTGGCTTTTTGGACCTCTTTTGCCATTTGGGTTAGGCTATTTTTTAAGGTGTTAATTTTGTCAGTATTTTTTTGGGTCTCCTTTAGCAAGCTGTTGACTTGTTTTTCATGATTTTCTTGCATCACTCTCATTTCTCTTTCCAGTTTTTCCTCTACTTCCCTTACTTGCTTCTCAAAATCCCTTTTGAGCTCTTCCAAGGCCTGGGACTGATTCATATTTTTCTTGGAGGCTTTGGATGTAGGAGCTTTGACTTTGTTGTCTTCTTCTGGTTGTATATTTTGATCTTCTTTGTCACCAAAGTAAGATAATATAGTCTGACTCTTTTTGCGCTGCTTGCTCATAATCCCGGCCAGTTACTTGAGTTTTAAACTCTTTGTTAAGGTAAGAGTCTGCTTCCAATGTGGAGAATGTAGTGTCCCAAGTTTCAGGGGTTTGTACAGCTGTTTTCAGAGATACTTGTAGGTACCTGTAAGTTTTCAGTTCTTGCAAGGTGGTATGATAAGGGGTGAGATGTTTACTCCTTTCCTTGCCTGTGACCACAAGTATTCCTTTCTGTCCTGTAACTGTGAGGAGGGGTTCCTCTCTACAGCCACTACAAGCTCCACCACGCCAGCGTTCCTCCTCACCCCAGCACCGCCACCCAGAACTGTGACGCAGATCCACACACGGGCAAAGCAAGAGATTCCTGCTTCTGCACTGGCAAAGAGATCCCTGCAATCCCTCTCTGATCAGCCACTGGATTCCCCCTCAGTCTGTGGGCCAGAAGCTCGGGAAGCAGTTGCACCCCTTCCCCCCCCCCGATCACGCTCTTGGGGAATGAAGCTGAGACCCCACCTTCCTTTCTCAGCACCGACAGAAACAGACTTTTCCCACTGACCTTCTAAGTTGTCTTTGGCATTAGTGGGTTGAGGAGTCTGGAAACCTCCACAGCTGCCCGTGATTCACTCCTCTGAGGCCTGTTCCAGGTTCACTGTGGCCTACGCTCCCATGCTGCACTCCCAGCCCGGCGTGATACACCTTTCTGATCAATCATCCAGGTTGTCTTGGGCTGGAAATTTGTTTCACTCTGTCTTTTTGTGGGTTCTGCTGCTTCAGAATTTGTTTAGAGCCATTTTTATGAGTATTTGGAGGGGTTTTCTAGAACTTATTAATGGAGTGGTTTATGAGCACCTGGAAAAGAAAGCCAAAATAGGTACATTAAGAACAAATTGTGCCTAATTAATCTTACTTCATTTTTTTTTAGTAGGGTTACAAGGGTAGGATAACACATGGAAGGGAGTGGTAGCCAGGAAGTGGAGTTTGGTATGGGAAGTCATAGGGATGGTGAATAACACCATAGGCAAGTCAGTTGACAAGCTCATTCTAAAAGCAATGGTAGTATTGATTTGAATAATGTTTCAGAGCAAAAGGTCAGAATTGGAAGGGGGAACAGAAAGGATATATGCAGCAACAAGTTGAATGGGTGATTGTAAGGAATGAAAACCATATAAAATCTAGAGCCAGTTCCATATAGAGGATAACTTGCATTTTTACCGGCAAACTCACCAATTAGGGCATAGTGTGGTAGTTCCAAAGGTGAGTGAATTAAGTCACCCAATAGATTAAGATCTTCAGGAAATCTGGTGGTCCAGAGTGAGCAGAAATCAGCAGCAAAAGAGATGGCCAAGGGTGAGATAAATGTGAAGTCCTAATTTGGATTCGTAAGAAATCAGCTTCATAAAATGGATTAGGAGACTTGTCTAGAGAAGAATTCATGGGCAAAAGTGCTTGTAGGTTTCCATTTGAAATTTCTTATTTGAAATCAACTCAACAGCGTGACAGATAATGACAGCCACAAAAGTGAATAGGATTTGAAGGAGGAAGAGATTTTATAGATCATCAACTCTAATCCATCACTTTACAAATAAGAAAAGTGATTAAGGGAAATGATTTGCCTTAGATCACAAGTTCTTTTCATCTTAAATTGCTTTATATTATTGTATGTGCCGTATTTGAGGAAGGACATTGATAAGCTGAAACACATCCAGAGGAGTGGTGAGAAGGCTAAAGAGGAGACTTGAAATATAAAGTTGAATTAAAAAAAAAGCTGGAGATGTTTGACCTAGAATAATAACAGGGATGAGGGTGGGGCAGCTGGGGAGGAGAGTATAACTGTTTGGAGGGCTGTTGTGTGGAAAGATTTGCGTTGTTTTGTTTTTCCTAAGGACTGACTTAGAACAAATGAATAGATGTTGCAGAAAAGTAGATTTTACCTAATTAAAGGGAAAAACTTCCTAATAGAAAAAACTTTATAAAAGAGGAAAAGCTCCCTATCACTGTAGATGTTCAGGCAAAGGAGAATCATACGATCAAGAGTTGAAGTACCTACATGAGAAATTATCTAGTTCACCACTAGCAGGATTTCTTAACCTGAGGTCCATGGAAAAATTTTCAGGGGGTCTCTCTTTATCTCACTGTAATTGGTTTCCTATGTATTTAATTTTGGGCATTTAAAAACATCCTGAACTATATCAAAAGGGCTATAAAACTGTACAAACCCTTTGACCCAGCAGTACTACTTCTAGGTCTGTATCCCAAAGAATTCATAAAAATGGGAAAAGGCCCACATGTACAAAAATATTTATAGCAGCTCTTTTCTGGTGGCCAAGAATTGGAAATTGAGGGAATGCCCATCAGTTGGGGAATGGCTGAACAAGTTGTGGTATATGAATGTAATGGAATATTGCTTTTCCATAAGAAATGATGAGGAGATGGACTTCAGAAGATGGAAAATGCTATCTACATCCAGAGAAAGAACTATGGAGTCTGAATGCAGATCAAAGCATACTATTTACTCTCTCTGTCTCTGTCTCTCTTTCTCTCTCTCTGTTTTTGTTTCTTCTTTCTCTTGGTTTTCCCTTTGGTTCTAATTCATCTTTACAACATGACTAATGTGAAAACATGTTTAATATGATTGTATATGTATAGCCTATATCAGATTACATGCTGTCTTGGAGCAGAGGGAGGGGAAGAAAATTTAGAACTCAAAATCTTATAGAAATGAATGTTGAAAAGTAAAAACAAATAAAACTAAAAACATCCTGAGAAGTGGCCCATGAACCAGAGGGGTTCATGAAAAAAAATAAAAAGGTTAAAAATGCTTTGGGTTTAGAGAGATAAAAGTAGGTTTGCACAAGGTTACAAGTAGTAAGTGGCATATGCACGTCCACTGGGTTGTGGCTGGGTTTAAAATTTTTTAAAAGGATTATTTCAGACAAACTTAGCTGAATATAAAAGCTCCCTCTAAATACATGGATCTTTTGATTAGACCTTGGTGTTTTCTGCTTATTAAGGTTTCTAGGGAGGATTCTTGCTTTATATGTGGATTTGTACTCTATAAGTTGTGTGGCCTCTTTAAACTCTCATTCTTTACTTTTCTAAGATGGTCTTGTTGATTTTAAAGTGGAAAGTTGGGCCAATGAGCAGAATAGGATCCCAGTTACCAGAATCACAGCAGTGTTTGGACAGTGGCTCTCTTTTTTCCCTTGTATATCTGATGATAGCTAGTACTGTTATCCTCAACTAGTCTTTGAACTTTTAAAAATCTTTTTTTTTCTTGGTGAGGCAGTTGGGGTTAAGCGTCATGCCCATTGTCACACAGCTAGTAAGTGTTATATGTCTCAGTCCAGATTTGAACTCGAGTTCTCTACTCCAGGGCTGGTGCTCTGTGCACTGCACCACCTAGCTGCCCCATGAACTTTTAAAAATCTTGGTGTTAGCTTTTTTCCGGTGGTGAAGATCTCCCCGTGCCACCATGCCTCTCGCCAAAGACCTCCTGCACCCCTCTCCCGAGGAGAAGCGGAAACACAAGAAGCGCCTGGTGCAGAGTCCGAACTCGTATTTCATGGACATAAAGTGCCTGGGGTGCTATAAAATCACCACTGTCTTCAGCCATGCACAAACAGTGGTTTTCTGTGTGGGATGCTCCACTGTGCTCTGTCAGCCTACTGGAGGAAAGGCAAGACTTACAAAAGGATGCTCCTTCAGATGGAAGCAGCACTAATGACTGAATCAAGATGACTAAGAAACTGTAAAGAATAAAACAAATTTGATACAAAAAAAAATCTTGGCGTTATTTGGATCCATCTTTTCAATAAAAGAAAAAAATTCACTCAGATGATGAAATTGCTTCTGCCAGTTGTTTTGTTGTGAAACTTTTTGGTTTGACCTCAGGTTCCAAAGCTTCCCTTACTTCTGCAATCTTTGCAGCTAGCAGCTCAATCAGATCCTCATTCAAAATCCTGATTCAGATTTCTTTCAGAATTCTTTATGTAAAGTCAGATTTATGTAATGTGAATTTCTGTAAAAGGAGAGTTGTCTGTATTACCTCACAGCCCAATTATGAATATCAGTTAAGAACACAAATGAAGTACATTGTAACCTTTAAAGCTCTATGTGAATAACAACTGTTTTCATTATGTAGCAAGAAGAGGTATGGTCTATTAGTAACCACCACCTTCAAAGAGATTTTTTAACTGTGGAATACTTGAGGTCTAAACTCATCTACCCCTTCAGAACTTTTCTAAGATCTCGAGCCCACTAGATAAATATTGTTCACTACACACTATACTGAATTGTTTTGTGATTCAGACAGATAACTAGGTGATAAGGAGCACTAATCCTAAGCATCTACGAACTTATTAAAGTTATATGGACTCTTTTTTGCTGTTAATTTTTCTTCAGTTCTTCTAAATATCAAAAGATATGGTTTTTCTTTTATGAATTTTTTGTATCTTTGCCATTTTAATATCTATTTCTGCTCATTATAATGATTAATATTTTTATTTTCTAGGGAATGGCTTTGTAAACTCAAGATCATCTCCAAATCTGTTAGTATCTACTGGGGGCAGTAGTTTAGGCAAAGTAATGCCTACAAAATCTCCCCCTCCTCCTGGAGGTGGAAACCTTGGAATGAATAATCGAAAACCAGACCTTCGAGTAGTTATCCCCCCTTCTAGCAAGGGTATGATGCCTCCATTGGTAAGTTTAACAAATCTTCAACTCCATTCTTTAAAACGTATATTTTATGTAGATATAAATATGTATATGTAAAGCTGGTTCACAACTTCCTCCAGGGAAGAAGATAGCCCTCTTACTTATTTAATGAAGTATTATGATTAGGAAAACATTTGCACATAAATGTTTTACATTTAACACAGATCTATATAATGTTAGCCAACAGGTCAGGCCAATAGGTTAGGCAGAATATTATTGAAGTAAAAATGACTTGCCTCACAACAAAGAAGAATAGGTGATAAATTTATTTTGTAATGATACATAAAATACGAGCTAAATTTGTGAGAGATTTGTAGGGCAAGCCACCAGGTTGGCTTCTCTGTTCCATCCTATTCAGATCATTGAAGAGTGCTTAAAAACTAGAATGAAGAGTATCTAGCAACTTCACTTTTCCACTCTCCGTAGACAGCTGTCATTATAATGATTAGCAGAACTAAACTACACTTTCTTGTTTTCTTAGCACAACTTCCAATTATTTTTCAGGCCCTGATTTCATTTGTATGGAGAAGATAAAGCCGGGAATGTACTCTCATACTTAATTTGACTTTTGTAGTAGATAAAAATGTGGTTATTATGGGCAGCTTAGCAAGTTTGTGTTTTAAGATTATATCCTAATAATTTAAAGGCTCTCCACCCTTTATTACCTAACACACCATTCCATTCCTTCTGGCTAACTAAAAGCAATACTGGCAGATTTAAAAAAACACACCTAATTAAAGGGCCCTCTACTTTGAAATTAGTGTCATAGTACTTCTACCTGAAGGGCTGGGTGGAGAAACTTAAAGATTGAGTCTGTCCTTCTTATTTTATGAATGAAGAAACCTCAAACCATAAAAGTCAAGTGATTTGCCCAAAGACACACAGGTTAGGCTGTTCTAAGCCATCGTTAGAGGTAGGATTTAAATTTAGGCCTTCTAACTGTATCCTTTGTTGAGGGAATTTGGCATGAGCAATAGAGTAAAATGCTAAGAAACTAGACCTAAAAGCCACTGACTTTTTAATTTAAATGTTATAAAGTGATAACAGATAACATTTATGAAAGCAGTTGATAAGCTGGTAGGTAAAAAGGGGAAACTGTGTTTAATTATTTTTTTAAAAATGTTTGAAATGAGATTATCTTGTGTTTTTGGACAGATAAAAATCTTCCCTTTGAAGACTGAAATTCTCTCCATATAAAACATTTTGACACTTAATCCCATTAGATGTATATTCACTAAAGGAGAATAAAATATTCATGAATGTCATAAAAAAAATTTACAGGATTCTAGACAGGCATCTTTTAATTGAAATAGAATTAAATATATCTATAACCAAACAGTGAAGTTATTATAACCTTATGGAAAGTCCTATTATAAAATGAAATTTTGTACAAAGTAAAATAATCACCCATTTTGTTCATGTGAAAGAAAAGTGTGGGGTAATGGATAGAGAGCTGGCTTTGGAGACAGGAAGACCTGAGTTCAAGTGTTGCCTGACACTAGCTGTGTGACTTAAGGCACTTAACCTTTAGGTACTCCAAGCAACTCTTTAAGAAAGATGGATCAAGCCTGCTTTGATAAAGGGAGTTTCCTCATCCAAGAGTTTCCTGTGCTAATGACATCATAGGTCAAGTCCCTATCTCTTACTTGCCTTTGTTCATATGTATGAAAAAAACAGAACACTAATTATTTATTTTAAGTCCAGAGTTCATGGGGGTAAGGGGTTGGGGGTGGGGCTGCAAGTGTGGATACTCCCATTGACACAGATCAATAACTGGTTTGTAACTTAGTTGGAGTTTCCTAGAGAACTGAGAGGTTCAATGACCAGTAATAAGTGTCAGAGGCAGCTTGCCCTTGATTATACTGTGCAACTTTTCAAACAATAATTGATGTAAAAATTTAATTCTTGAATTAAAAAAGGAAATATTTCAGTACAGAGTAAAATAGCCTAGATAATTCCTTCACAGAATTAGCTAAATATTTTCAGCTATGTAAAAAATATTTTCTGGATGATTTAGGAAAAAAGAAATAAGTGTGTTCAATTTTATCTGATCTTTTAATTTAAATTTTCATATTCTTCCACTTTAATTTATGGCCTTTGCTTGTTTTTACACACTTAATTATTTTACTTATACAAACTTATGTGCAAGTGAGAAACCTGTGATAGAATTGTATGGCAACCTTTGCAATCTTTATGAATGAGCTTTAGGCTTGCATACAGTAAATAGTAGGTTAAGTATATAATCATATTGTTAAAACTTAAATGTTTTCTTTTTAAAAAAGTAGTGTAGAGCAATGACAGTCTTAGTAACTCTGTTATCCCTCTTGTTTGCTGAGTACAGTCGGAGGAAGATGAATTGGAGTTGGTGAGTGTGGGTTTCTGCTTGATAAGATAAAAGGGGTTCAGAAAGTCCTTGTTTCTATCAAATATTTTAAAAATAAACAATGTTCCCTTTAGCATATTTTTACTTACTTATTTTGGAAGTATTTAATAAGATGATAGTGTTATGAAATAAATTCTGACATTTCTTCTTAAAAACATAATTTGTGCAGTTTTATTTGTTAGAGGGAACATTGGGATGGAGCCTTTAAAAAAAAACCACCAAAAAAAAAACCCCAGTAGCTGTCCATGAGCAGAAGACACTAAGGATTTGGCTTAAAAAAAAAAAAAAACCCAAAACTGAAAGATACAGAATACTTTATATAGTTCCCCAAATTATTAAAATGTTTTTAGAAAGTGACTTCACCCCTTAAGTTCCTCAAATTGTAACACAAGGTCTTGTGTTGTTCTCCTTGTTTCAAAAAGATTACATCATTTTTTGGTGAGGTCACCTTTTCACAGAGTTGGAATTATTTCATCCTGTATGAGAAGATCAGAACCACAAGGGGGTTCCCTGTTTATTAAAAAGGATATATGTGTTTATAAATAAATTCTTTTACATTTCACCACTTTATTGGAAGATGTTCTATTTAAAAAGGAGCAATCCTTTTTTTCCAAAATGAGTGATTTTTATTGGCTTTCACTATGGAAAAATAAATGTGACTAAAAATAACTTGCAGTTGGTAAGAAATATTACTTGTCTGAAAATAAAATACAAATCTTTAGTTTCTGCACAAGAAAGACCTTATCATTTAAGTCCAAAACATGTTTGTAGTTTGCTTAGTAATTTAAGGGTGGAGAACTTTTAACTTGTCATCAACATGGACCTATTGCTGGTAAGAGGCTCAGATTGCATGAAAGCATGGGGAGGAGAAATGCACACTTTGAGTTTCCATTGATGGTTTCATGCTTATGCATGCTGGCATTTTTTGCCCAGGTTTTTTTTTTCCTTTCCAGAGATCTTTTTCTCCACACCATAGCAATGCTTTATCTTTAAAATAAAAGATTACTCTCCAGACACCTTTGTGGTTTCCTTTCTTATTCCCAGTGCAGTTTATGGTTTTCCTTTACCTATTTGGTAATTTTTTTAGGTTGTTATTAAGTGATCTGCTTAAATTACACTGTGATTCACAAATTAAAGTTTGCACTTGATCTATTCTAACTCACTAAAAGATAATTTATTTTCAATTTGTATGTATTTTTATTCCTTTTATTATGTGACTTCCCTATAGTTAAAAAATTTCAGATAGATTTCATTGTTGCTATCTTAGAAGTATGTTGCCCTCTAGTGGTTTTGAAAATTATTTATTTTTAAGGAGTCATTAACCAGAAATTTTGGTGGGTACAGTAATAAATAATACATCAGAACCCTTCCTTTAATTTTGAGTTTAAGCTTTGGTTAATGTGAGGCTACAGCATGGGTGGAAGCCCAAAGGGGTCTGCTTTATAATGAATTCTCCATATACTCCATAATAATTAGTATCTGGCCTATACTAGAGTATTTCAAAAAATCCAAATGCAGAAAGTCATTGAACTCCAAAGAATTAGCTGAATCAAAAATGTCATGGAATAATTTAACAAATTCAGCATATTGAGACAGAAATTGATTCATACTTACATTGCTTTATTCTCTAACATCCCTTGAATTCCACATCTTTTTATAAAAATAAATTGGAAAAAATTTCCAAGTATATAATGATTTTATAGATTATAGTAATGACAAGATAAAATATATTCCATGTAACTAAAAACATTGTACTTGGCTAAAATTGTAATGAGTCATCTTCAGAACTACCAAAGGCATATCCTTACACTTGGCAGTATTTTAAAACTTCAGAGAGGGTAACTGAGACTTTCAACTCAATTCAGTAGTAAGTACTAAGTACCTACTTTATGCAGGGCACAACAGATATAAGGACAGAAGTGAATAATAGCTCCTACCCTCAAGGACCTTACATTTTTGTTTTTTGTTTTTTTTTTAAATATATACAAGTATAAATAAAATACAAGATTAATATGGAGAGGGAAGCAGTGCTGCTGACAACTAGGGATGTTAACCTTGAAAAATAATTAATAATTTTAAAACTTTGTATATCTGAGAAACAGAATTATAATCATTATTTATAATAACTTGGATATTTTCCAAATGAGTAATGGTTGAAAGTGGAATTACACTCAAGAGTGGACTTATTCTACTCTAAGAAAAGGCAAGTAAGTGCCCTGAAACCTACATCTGGACTCTTCTGTTATGAAGTTTAAGAATTTCTATAGGAGCTTTGCAGTTCCATGAGAATCCCAACTTCTTTGATGTCCACTCTGATGCGAAAGTCACAATAAGAAGAGATAAATATTTATCCTCTCACCCTTTGTAATCTTGAATCACATTGTCATAAAGAAGAATAATATTTCGTATATTGCTTTTCAAAACACTTTCCTGTATATGGTCTTATTTTATTGTCACAGCAACTCTATTTAAGGGGCAAGACCATTGATGTTATCACTATTTTATAGTTGAGAAGAATGAGCCCCAGAAATGTTGAATTGAGCCAATAATAGAAATTCTTCTACTTCCTGATCCATTGTTCTTTCTACTGTACCTTAAATCCTTCCACTATTCATCCAGCTTATATTGGAATAGTAAAAACAAAGAAGAGAAAGAGTGGTGCTTTATTTGGAGACCATACCACAACTGTCCTTTATAATATTAATACTCTGTTGTCTAGTATTTTGCAGCATTGCAGAGGTTCTATTCAAATGTAATATAGAATTATCAGCAATTACAGCCTGCCTAATACCCATACTTTCTGAAAACAGTGATGAGAAAAATTGAATCACGTTAGTACAACTCTTCTGAAAAGGTTTTTGGTATTTGCATTACACTAAGGTCTTAGAGGCACAAATGTCAGGTGCCATATTCTATCATCTTAATATGCAAAAATGTCTGGATTTAAAATCTGGCTGTTAGGCATATCTTTGCCATTGCATGGGATGTGTTCTCCAATACTAATTCATTGTTAACAGAAAAAGGTAGCCTAAATCACTGAAAAGAGAAATGGGTCCCACAATATCATCATATGTAGATAATATAATTGATATAATACTTCTGTTTCTGAATAATTTTAAGGAAATAATCATATGGGTATAGGCATTATTATGTAAGTCACTAAACATAATTTCTTCCCCCTGGATTAAAAAAAACAATAAAGTTCACTGTAATATTCAGTAAATATGATAGGTCAGTGTCTAATTAAGGACTTTCGTTAGTATAACCAGTTTCATTTTTAAGAGAAAGTATAAATGTCATTGAACAAGAACTATAGAATTAAAATAAGACAGTTGAAGGGCATTTATTGAAAATTTACTATTGTGGAGGAAGGTTGATTTCTTGAGCCACTAATCTTAAGATGGACAAAGAATGTACATATAAAACAATTAGAAAACAAAATATAAAAATTGTTTTGTTAGGAGTAATCTTACATTATAATGCAAATTAAATTAAAATTGACTTCTCTTGTAATCTGTAAAATACCATTGTTTATAGCAATTATTAGTGTTGTAATTTTGTGCTTATATGATTAATTTCTAAATGACTTACTCTCTGTAGAAAGCATATTTAAAATATAAACATGTGTCCATTGATATCTCAGTAGTTGCAATAGTATCAACTTTTTATTCTATTTGATATCACATACATAGAAGTGTTATCACTTGCTGTAGAATCCCTTATATTTAATATGTTATTTCCATGGCATTGACAAGGTTGCATAAAAGAATATAAATAGGATTCATAGGATAGAGCTAGAAGGGACCTCAGAGCTTATGACTGAAATCCCTTGATTTTACAGATAGAAAACTGGAACCCAGAGAGATAGTCTCTCTGAGGCCTGAGGTCACCAAATACTAAATTAAAGGCCTGGTATTTGTACCCGAGTCGTCTACCTCTAAATCCAGTGTCCTTTCCACTGTACCACTTTAATGTAAATACTTTCCCCTTAAAAATAAGCCAGATGAAATATTTTGTAGTATTTCCTTTAGTAGTTAGTTAAAATTTTTCACATAATCTTTACTATATGAAATAAGATCTTCAATATATAAAAAGCATGAAAACTTTCATATTTTAATTGAATGTTGTTTTTAAAATATAGACTCTGTTCATTGTAATATCCACATGATACATCTTTCTTTGTTACAAATCACTTACAGAATTCCCAAAGGATAAGCAGTTCTCAGTCTACTCAGCCTCTTGCTACACCAGTGGTATCTGTGACAACTCCAAGCTTGCCTCCACAGGGACTTGTATATTCAGCCATGCCTACTGCTTACAACACTGGTAAGTCTTTATTTGTTGCCTTTCCTTGTCTGTTTTCTGTACTGTAAATATTTTACATTTCTCTACTCAGTAGTCAGCAAGTGTTTACAAAAGCTTATGAAAGGCCAAGATGGCTGAGTAAAAGCAGTGACTTGCTTGAGCTCTCCCCCAAACCCCTCCAAATACCTGTAAAAAATGGCTCTAAACAAATTCTAGAGCAGTAGAACCCACAGAAAAGACAGAATGAAAAAAATTTCCAACCCAAGACAACCTGGATGGGTGACTGGAAAGGTCTGTTGTGCCTGGCTGGGAGAAAAAAGCAGTTCAGCATGGACTGAGTGCACATGCAAAATAGGCCTCAGCAACTCTGGAGCAGGCCTCAGAGGACTGAATCATGGGCAGCTGTGGTGGTTTCCAGACTTCTCAACCCCCTAACACCAAAGAGAACTTAGAAGGTCAGTAGGAAAAGTCTGTGACCACAGTGAGAGAGGAGCTTGGTCCCAGCCCTAGTGCTGGCACAGCCCCAGGGCTCTTGGCCCATAGCCTGAGGGTGAATCAAGTGGCTGATCAGAGGGGGATTGCAGAGATCTCTTTGCTGGTGCTGAGGCAAGATTCTTTTGCTTTACCTGTGTTTGGATCTGGGTCACAATTCTGGGTGGTGATCCTGGGGCAAGGAGGAGCACTGGCATGATGGAGCTTGTAGAGGGAATTCTCCTCACAGTTCCAAGGCAGAAAAGAGTGCTTGACCAGAGCACAGGCCAGGAAAGGAATAAACACCTCACGCTTGATCGTACCACCTTGGAAGAACTGAAAATTTCCAGGTCCCTGGAAGTATCTCTGAAAACAGCTGCAGAAAACCCCCAAAGCTTGGGACAGTACATTCTCCACACTGGAAGCAGACCTCTACCTTAACAAAGAGTTTATAACTCAAGTAGTTGGCTAGAATCATGAGCAAACTGCGCCAAAAAAAAGACCATAGAATCTTTCTTTGGTGAGAAAGAAGATCAGAACCAGAAAAAGACAACAAAGTGAGAGCTCCTACACCCAAAACCTCCAAGAAAAACATGAATTGGTCCCAGGCCTTGGAAGAGCTCAAAAAGGATTTTGAGAAGCAAGTAAGAGAAGTAGAGGAAAAACTGGAAAAGAGAAATGAGAGTGATGCAAGAAAATCATGAAAAACAAGTCAACAGCTTGCTGAAGGAGACCCCCAAAAATACTGAAGAAAATAACACCTTAAAAAATAGCCTAATCCAAATGGCAGAAGAGGCCCAAAAAGCCAATGAGGAGAAGAATGCTCTAAAAAGCAAAATTGGCCAAATGGAAAAGGAAGCCCAAAAGTTTACTGAAGAAAATTCTTCCTTAAAAATTAGAATGGAGCAAATGGAAGCTAATAATTTTATGAGAAATCAGGAAACTGTAAAACAAATCAAAAAGAATGAAAAAAATAGAAGACAATGTGAAATATCTCGTTGGAAAAACAACTGACCTGGAAAATAGATCCAGGAGAGATAATTTAAAAATTATTGGACTACCTGACAGCCATGATTAAAAAAAGAGCTTAGACATCATCTTTCAAGAAATTATCAAGGAAAACTGCCCTGATATTCTAAAATCAGAGGGCAAAATAGAAATTGAAAGAATCCATGGATCACCTCCTGAAAGAGATCCTTAAAGAAAAACTCCTAGGAATACTGTAGCCAAATTCCAGAGTTCCCAGGTCAAGGAGAAAATATTGCAAGCAGCCAGAAAGAAATAATTCAAGTATTATAGAAACACAATCAAGATAACATAAAATTTAACAGCTTCTACATTAAGGGACTGGAGGGCTTGGAATATAATATTCTGGAGGTCAAAGGAAATTACAACCAAGAATCACCTACCCAGCAAAACTGAGTATAATCCTTCAAGGGAAAAAATGTGGACATTCAGTGAAATAGAGGACTTTTAAGCATTCTTGATGGAAAGACCAGAGCTGAATAGAAAATTTGACTTTCAAATACAAGACTCAAGAGAAGCATGAAAAGGTAAACAGGAAAGAGAAATCATAAGGGACTTACTAAAATTGAACTGTTTACATTCCTACATGGAAAGATGATATTTGTAACTCATGAGACCTTTGTCAATATTAGGGTAGTTGGAGGGGAAAAAATATATGTATGTATGTATGTATGGACGGATGGATAGATGGATAGATAGATAGAGGGCACATGGTGAGTTGAAGATGAAGGAGTGATATCTGGAGAATAAAATTAAGGAGTGAGAGAGGATTATGCTGGGAGGAGAAAGGGAGAGGTAGTATGGGGTAAATTATCTCACATAAAACAGACAAGAAAAAGCTTTTACAGTGGAGGGGAAGTAGAGGAAGGTAAGAGAGAATGAGTGAATCTTATTCTCATGGGATTTGACTTAAGGAGGAAATAACATACACACTCAGTTGGGTATGGAAATCTGTCTTACCCTACAGGAAAATAGGGGGAAGGGGATAAGGGAGGGAGGAGGGCTAATCAGAAGCAAACACTTCTGAGGCAGGACAGGGTCAAAAGAGAGAATAGAATAGGCGGTGGGGGATGGGGGGAAGTGGGTGGGGTGAGAGCTGGGATAGGATGAAGTGAAATATAGTTAGTTTTTCACAGCATGACTACTGTGGAAGAGTTTTTCGTGACTACACATATATAACCTGTATACAGTTGCTTGCTTTCTCAATGAGGGTGGGTGGGGAGGGAGGAAGGGAGAAAATTTGAAACCCAAAGTTTTAAAAACACATGTTAAAAATTGTTTTTACATGCAGCTGGGAAATAAGATCTATAGGCAATGGGGTATAGAAATCTGTCCTGCCCTACAGGAAAATAGAAGGGGAAGGGGATAGGAGAAGAGGGGGCAGTGATAGCAGGGAGGTCAGATTAGGGGAAGGGGTATTCAGAATGCATGCTGTCTTAGGGTGGGGGGAGGGGCAAGAAGGGGAGAAAATTTGGAACTCAAAGTCTTGTGGAAGTGAATGTTGAAAACTAAATTAAATACATCTCTTTTTTTTTTATTAATTTATTTTGATTTATCAACAATCACTTCCATAAGCTTTTGAGTTTTAAATTTTTCTCCCCGTCCCTCCCCACCTCCCTTCCCAAGATGGCATGCAATGTGATATAGGCTATACATATACATTCCTATTAAACATATTTTCACATTAGTGATGTTGTAAGTAAGAATTAGAACCAATAGGAGGAACCACCAGAAAGAGGAAACAAAACACAATAGAAGAAAAAAATAACAAATAGTATGCTTCAGTCTGCATTCAAACTCCATAGTTCTTTCTTTGGATGTGGATAGCATTTTCAGTTGTGAGGCCTAGATAAATACATCTTACTGAAAAGTGGATAACCTGATTTAAAACTAACTCACACACGCACACGCATTCTCTCTGAGCACGTGCGCAAGCCCCCGTGTGTGTGTGTGTGTGTGTGTGTGTGTGTGTGTGTGTGTGTGTGTGTGTGTCTAGTTAAAGTAGTTACTACCGGGGCAGCTAGGTGGTGCAGTAGATAGAGCAATGGCCCTGGATTAAGGAGGACCCGAGTTCAAATCCAGCCTCAGACACATAACACTACCTGTGTGACCCTGGGCAAGTCACTTAACCCCATTGCCTGGCTCAAAAAAAAAAAAGTAGTTACTGCCACAAAGGAACTTTGTAATTCAAAACATTCAACAAACATACCTACTGTAGTTAAGACAGGTTTTGGAGGAAATAAAAACAAAAGCTAAAATAGCTCCTGCCTTCAAGGAGCTTGGGAAAGGATACGAGAAGGGAGTACCCAGAAAGAGTAGCTATGACTTGTATATAGATAAGTAAATACTAGAGTTTAAGGTAAGAGAAAACATTAATATCTGGTGGAAGGAATCTGGGAAGCCTTCAGAGAGAAGTGTCCTTTTAGCTGAACCTTAAAGGAAGATAAGAATTCTCCAAGGCAGTTGAGGAGGGGGTGTATTTTCCAGACATGGGGGAAGGACTTGTGAAAATTCATCTGAGTGCCCCGGGAGGAGATGGAATGTTGGGTTTGGGGAACAACTTGTGGTAGAATGTTGAGTGGGTGAGGAGCAGTCATGTGAAATGAGGGAGGAAAAGTAGACTGGAGCTGAATTATGGAAAGCCTTAAATGGCATTCTGAGGAATTTTTATTTCACACCAAAGGAGCTAAGGGCCGTGACATGACCTGGGGCCTTCAGAAGGTTATTTTGGCGTTTGTGGAGAAGAGGAATTGGAGAGAAGAGAGATTAGAAGCAAGAAGACCAGTTAGGTGGCTATTGATTTACCAGTGGTTAATCATCTCATTTTCTAACCCTGCCCTCTCCACCTGTGGGAGTTTACCCTGTACTAAAGGGCATACATGAATTGTTATAATAATTACTATGGAACTATTATAAAAAATCTTCCAGAAAATACATCATATTAGATCCAGTGAGTCAGAACTACATTTATTCATACCTATTCTTGTAGCTTTACAAAGTGTAAAAGTGGGCTGTCATAATTGAAGTAATTCACTAATCTAATCTAATCTAATTAAGACAGTGAGGCAGTGGCCAAAAGGCCAAGTTTTAGAGTTAGCCTCCGAGTCTGGAAGACCTAGGTTTGAGTGTTGCCTCTGACACATCCTAGTGATGTGACTTTGACCTCTCCAAGTCCAGGCAACTGCAGAGCAAGCACCAATACACTTTCGTAGAAGGATTTCCTCACCTGGAGCTCATTCTAATGTGGTTACAAGATAGTCAAAAATAGGGTGGCAGCAAAATTTTCATCAAGTTTTTGGCAAGCTGGCCTTGAACATTTCTTCCTCTTACAACAGGGAAATTCATTCTGTCAACATTGTTAAGCACCTAAATGCCAGGCATTGTGTGTTAAGCTCAGAGGTTGACAGAGTCAAAAAACAGTGCCTGCTGTAGTGGAGTTTTCACTGATGGGGGAAACAACAAACAAACAAGGGTATATAAGTAAAGAAAAGAAAGTATTTGCCTGTTCGCTGTAGAATGAAACAGAAGAGGCGAGATTAATGGTGAACTGAAGGTGACCGTGAATGAGAGCTCTATAAATAATGAGTTCTGACGCAAAAAGCTGTTACTGAAATGTCCATACAAAACTGTTACGTGTGTACCACTTGTAGCTTTTTCCATGAACGTAAAGTTATTTTACAAACTGAAAATATCTCTAGTTGAAACATCTCTACTTCACAGTATGAGTATTATAAGTTGTCTAGATAAAGTCTCAGCAAATAGGGACTATTGTCTTCATATTCTGTCTGTAAAAGTAACAGCAATGTGCCAAATAACTGGTGGTTTTATGTCACTATATTTCAGTTTGAAAAAATAAGTTTCTCTTTGTACTATAAAAATATGGTGCTGCACAAGTCTTATATTTGCCTAAGGACGTCATTTTTTTCTGAAAGAATTAAATGAAAATCTAAAGCCCCATAGAAGAAAATTCATTGCATTTAAATTTTGTAATTATATTGAATAAAAATTGTTGCCCTGTGTTTGAGTTCATCTTCTTTGTCCTGATGTAACTTAAAGCTGTGAATTGAAAATACTTTATTTCACACAAAGTCGTTTAGAGAATTCAGGATGTCTTTTACTTTCCATGTGAGTAAAATTTTCTTCCCTTTTTCAGATTACTCACTTACTAGTGCAGACCTGTCAGCCCTGCAGGGATTTAATTCCCCAGGAATGCTGTCGTTAGGACAAGTATCTGCCTGGCAACAGCACCATTTAGGACAAGCAGCCCTCAGTTCTCTTGTGTAAGTAACTCTGCTAAACTGCTCACAGAATCTGTAATTCTGTTATGACACACTCATCTTTATATATTGGCTAAAATTTATATTTCTAAGATTGCACACCAAAATCAGGTAAGAATTGTTTATTAGGACATCGGTGTTTGGGGAGATTTTCCTTATATGGCATCATATTCTTCACAACTTTGAAATTCCATATCTGCTATAGTAAAACATAGATATGATAACTACTGAGCTAGTATTCCTCTAAGGAATTTGAGGACCAAAATTTTTTTTTTAAATGGAGACAAAATAAGCTGACCGAGGTTTCTCAAAAAGTCTGTGGTGGTAATAAGTCTGGAGTCCAGATTTTCTGACTCCTAGACCAAGACTCCATCTGGTCTAGTTCATATTAAAAGTTTAAAGTGACAGACGCACCAGACTTAAACTTTTTCCAAATCTGTACTATGATGGTTCTTGGCCACAACTAGAGACAAAATTCACATTTGAAAGTTCCAAACTAATTCAGATTAGAATTCATAAAAAGATCTACAATAACATAGGTAGTCTTAAATGCTAAAATTGCTTTGAGAGAAATTGTTTGCTTAGCATGAGAGTCCAGGCTACAGATGGGTTGTGTTCTAAAGGTTCATCTAAGTTACTTGTTTGGAACTTAGAACATATTTTCCCATAAGGATATGAATGGTGGTTAGAGACCAAGACTTCCTTATGAAATAAAGTACATATACAGCACAGAATAATAGAAAACAATGCTGTTACTGGTAATTAAGCAAAACTTAATATGAATTTCTTTATCTTGAGTGATAGTATTTAAGGATATGTGCATGGTTTCCCTCCCACCAAGTATGTTTAAAAAAAAAAAGGCAGCCTAAGGCAAACACTTTATTCTTCCTCTATACTCATCCCCTCTCCACCCTCTGAGGGTCAGTTAACCCATAGGAACTTCTGTTCCAGACCATTCTGTTCCATTGCTTTTGTGTTTAGGCTATATTAACATAGATTCTTTCCCCAACCACCCCAATTTTCATGTCTTTTCTGACCAAGTACATACCTTTCTTCTGTTTCCCCTGAGAGGAAAAATGTGTCACTTGATTCTTCTCATGTTAACCTTCCTCTCCTGGATGGAGGAGTGGAAAGGAACCTAGAAGGGAGGCCAAGGTTCCCCAGACCAGTATATGTATGCATACTTACAGCGGGTCTGGGAAGGGTATCAAGAGATTAAGATAACTGACCGCCTTTCCTCCAAACTCCCCCCACTCCCACCCCTCAGAAGCTGAGCTTTCTAAACTGTTGTCTCTCATCCTCTTAGTCTTACTTCCTTGACAGTGAGGAATTGGAGATGAGCTTCAGGGTCATTGGATTCATAGTTGACAGCAACCTTATATACGTCAGAGGAAGAGGAGGCTTATAAAATTTAAGTTACTTGCCCAGGGTCACATAGGTAAATCTTTAATAATAGCAGGGCTAGGATTCAACTCACATTCTCTAATTCCAAATCCAATTCCCTTTCCTTTGAGAAAAGAGCTGAGAGGCAGATCAGGGAAGACTAATTTTGGGTGTTCCTCAGTTTCACTGGACTCCCCAGTATGTATGTGATAGGTTAATTTTCATTGTTCAATTCAGATGTATCTTCACAGTGCTCATTACTTTTAAACATTACATGAGAGAAAGGTAATGAATATCTTAAATAGCTTTTTTCATATACATTGGTCTTCACTCTCACATGTCCAAATTACAGGGAAGGTTTATGTTTAAAACATGAACTGTTGAAGCCCTCCCTAGGATAACTAGTAACAGGAATTACAAATTAACTTGATCAAAATATGCATTAATAATTCTAGAGGACCCTTGATGAAGCACGTAGCCCACCTTCTGACAGAGAAGAGATGCACTCAAGATGCAGATCATACTTTTACAGTGGTTTTATTTTTGGTTTTGTTTTTCTTTTTAATGGGAAGAGGGTAAAAATAAATGCCTGGAAATTATTAATTCTAACAATGTATAAGTTTGAAATTAAATTTTTAAAAATTAATTTTTAAAATATAAGCACTAAAAATACTAATATGAGGTTATTTGCCCAAATCAGTTACCAAGAACTACTTTAAATAATATTTGAATGTAGATATTATATAAGTTAATTTTTCTTTAAATGAAGTTATCCAGATGTAATTTCTTAAGCCAAGGCAAAGGAGGAGAAAAGGCAAAAAACAGCCATCAGTCATATCTGATTCTGGTAACAATAAAATGAGACCCCTTTGCCATCATTTTCTTAATCAGTTGGCCAAGTTGCAACACTGGGCAATGGCTTTGTTCTGAATATTTTGTCTGCAGAGTTATTGTGATTTACTGAGTTCCAATTTAAAGGTGACAAGCTCAAATAAAGTGCTTTTATCCCCACCCTTGTCCAGAGTTTGTGACTTTAAAAAAAAAGTGGGATTCCATTTCTCTGTAGGCCCTGATTTAAGGAAATGACTCAAAAATTCAGATATTATTTCAGATGCCATGCTATTTTCAGTAAGTTTCTGGAATAATTTCATTAATGCAGATATTAGAGACTTGCTAACATATGTAACGTCTTTTCTTCTTTAGTACGGGAGGGCAGTTATCTCAGGGTTCAAATTTATCCATCAATACCAACCAAAACATCAACATCAAGTCAGAACCAATTTCACCTCCCAGGGATCGAATGACCCCTTCAGGCTTCTCTCAGCAACAGCAGCAGCAGCAGCAGCAGCAGCAGCAGCAGCAGCAGCAGCAGCAGCAGCAAGCTCGTCAGGAAATGGGTAGATCCCCTGTTGACAGTCTAAGTAGCTCCAGTAGTTCTTATGATGGGAGTGATCGAGAAGATCCCCGAAGCGACTTCCATTCACCCATTGGGCTTGGCAGACCCCCAAACACTGAAGAAAGAGAAAGCCCTTCAGTAAAGCGAATGAGGATGGACACATGGGTGACATAAAGCTATTGATGTTGCTGTTTTTATTTTGTGTTACTGCAACGAACTGCCCTACATATCTAAATTTATAAATAAGGACATGAGTTAAATATATTTATATCTATATACATACATATATCTCTTTACGTATATATGTATGTGTGTATGTGCGAATGTGTGTGTGTGTGTATGTGTGTGTGTGTTGTGTGTGTGTGTGTGTGTGTGTGTGTGTCTTGCATACACCGAACTAGGCACTTACTGCAAATTCCTTGTATATCTGCAAATGTCCAATGATAAACAAAAGAAACCCTGTAGGCAATGGTCTGGTCTGGCACTTTCTTAGAGTTTTTGTTTAATAATATAATCGAGTTTTTGAGGAGAAACATTGTATCCATATATAATCCTACCACACTGGCTTGCAGACACCTAGAGGGCTCACCCATAGTAACGTCCCCTATGTGTTTTATTCAGACTGTGTGGTTACTTGTAGTTCATTAAGGAAAAAATGCTTTGTAGCAGCAGGGCAGTAGAAAAGCAGGAAAAAAGAAAGCAATACTGTACATAAAGTGACATTTATATTACCCAACCCAGCATGGGTCTCTATTGCAAAGGGGTGCATGGGAAAGGGCTGATGCTATTTAAACAAAACAAGAAAACACCACACATACCTGTTTTGCACGTGCAAAATGTATTGGGTCAAAGAAGTGATCTTTAGTTAATAAAAAGAGAGAGAATAGAAAAAAACGCATGAGATATTCAGAAAAATATTAGCCTAGAAAAATAGAGCATTAACAAAATAAAATTAATATATTAAGTTATAATTGGAATATGTCAGAAGTTTCTTTTTACATTCATGACTATAAAAAAGAAAAGAAAGGAACTGATTTTAGCTCATGTATATTTTATATTAAAAAATACCCTTATGAATTGATGGCTATATATAAAGTTATATATAGTACTTTTGAACACATTCTGCTATGAATTATTTATATAAGCCAAAGCTGTATGTTGTAGCTTTTTTTTGGTAGAGTATAGTTTTATCTTGTTTTGACTTTTGAGTTTTACTTTCAGAGAGGAAAAAAAAACTTGCAGGCAGAACCTTGGAAACAAAAAGCCATGAACACTTATTATCTATATGTAAATTAAAATTTGAGCCAAACTCTTTTTTGTGTATATAGCATCTTAAATATATTATCACCTTTGGTGTAAGTACCTATCTATTGTACGGTCACCAGATTAAAAAGTATATTTTTGTGGATTGCCGCCAACTTGAAAAAAAAAAAGGCGAGGTCCTTATTAAGTAGAGTATTCACTGTTTAATATTTACTATTTTGTTAAATATACTGTACTTTCTTTGGATTTTAATTATTATTAATATCCCAATTTTTAGAGGGTTGTATAAAGGGGATTTTCCCCTCACTGGTGGTGAATGTGTGATGTTAAACTGTAATCTTTGTGCTGTATGGTTAAGCTTCATTATACATTATACATTTTATACATATGTATATAAATAGCAAAGTGGAAGAAAATCTGGTGTTAAAGTTCATCCTGCATAAATATAAAATGTGTTGTAATAGATTTTAAAAGGCATTAGTTAAAACTTTGCCTTTTGTGAGAAAAAATACAGTGGAAAAAGTTGACCTAATTTAATTCATGTTAAGATAAAATGATAACATATCAGGTGAGCACAAAAGGTTTTATAAGTGGTAGAAGCTTAGGGAAAAACACTTATTTTGGAAATAGATTTCCTTTTCTTCTAACCCTCCAGAAACAGAGGGATGCAGCTGGCCACAATTTAGCTTTTTTATTACTATTTTTAAAATACTTCATACTCAAGTGATAGTCATTCCATTTGGGGTGGGGTGGGGGGGACTTAAATTGATTATAGTGCAGCTTCCACTTACAGATCTTGATATTTAAATTGAGCAGTGGCAGCCCTCAGCTTGATTTTTTTGAACTCCCTACCTGAAGACTAATCCGTGGTAACAGTTTTCCTTTCCTGAGTTAAATCAGTTTTTATCAATAAGCTCGTGCCATATGAGCCAAAATTCTGCATCTTGCTGTATTTTGTATTTTCAGAATTAAAATTGCACCTCTCACGAGAAAAACTCAAAGTAGGGCTTTTAGAAATTGTTCCTTTTATACTGAATTTAAATGAACATATAGCAACTGTCATCTTTTACCTAAATTTCATTTTATCTCCTAAGTTAAGAGTTGTTGGGTCTTTTTTTTATTGGCAGTGTTTTGGTAAAGTTTTTTGGTTTGAAGGTTTTGTTTTATTTTGTTTCTGCCTTTTCACAATAAGCCATTTGAAACATGGACAGCCAAATATTCTGACACAGGTATTAAAAACACTTGTTGGAAGATGGAAATTTTTGGAGAAGGCTTATATATGACTAGTAAAGTCTGTTACCATAGCCAAAAACAGGAGGATTATTGTGTATTCTCTCCTTTAAATATGAGTATTTGGGTCTTATTCAAAGAGATGTTTTGTTTTTAAATTTGAAATGATTTTAGGTTTATTAAACTATCTACATGTTTTTCATAGGGTCATATACAATCTAAGCAGCAAAATAGTCTCCCAAACCAAATTTCCAAGATAATTCCACTTCCTTACCACTTTATAGACCATTTATAGCTTTGAAAGTGTTAAGTGATTCCTTCATTATTATTTATGCATGTTCATGAATTTTTGCTGTATATGTGAATAGGAGTTATGCATTCACATTTACTGTCTATTTTCTTGTGTGCCTTATGAGATGGCTTTGCTGACTGTATCTCAATAGTCTTTATTTCTATGCAGGTTTATATGCAGTACAATTACTGTTTTCTAAAATAATGTTACCCAAGGCTCAGAGTTTGTATTTAAATTGCTTTGACAGAGTAAAAATTTGTTCATTTTGCAGGAAGTAAGTATCTGACTGTTAACCTCTTTCCCATAAGCCCTATTTGTGAATTTAAATGAGTAGCTTTTATAGAAACATCCCCTTACACATACACACATACACATATGCATATACATTCATATAATGGAAAGTGATTGTTAATGAGGATAACATAACAGTGTAATTTTAGACCCTACTTTAAAAAAAATTAGACTAGTGTTATGTAACACCATAAAAGAAATAATTTAACCTATTCAAGTGTAGCATTTCTTTTTTCTAAAAAAATAAAAATAAAAAAAGCAAGTCTATGGTTAAAATTACACAGTTAATGTAAGTTTTCCCATAGAAAATATCCAGTCTGTACTCTTTAGCCAATCCATTTAAAGTCACCTATTGTATACATATGATCCCAATCAAAACTCCATCTTTGAGCTCCAATTAAAAACATAATGTTGCAGACTAAATCAGGGGTTTGTTATAGAAGAATAAAATGTTTTAGCATTTCCTTTTACTGTAAAGGACACTAATGCATCACATACTTTCTGGATTAACTGTCATGCGCACAAGAAATACATAGTAAATAAGGAACCTAAAAACTCCTGGCATTTGATCATGAAAAGAAGCTAGATAATTAGAATGTGAAAGAAAGATTTACAAATGTAAAATGTTTATTTCTCTGTAGAAACTTTCTTCACTTTGCTGTGCAAGAGGACACTGCTTTGCTATATTTAAAATGGCTTTTTTAAAAGAGATTTATGTATTTGGTAAATGTTTGTAGTCAATAGTTCACACAAGAAGCTGTTCACGGTTTGATAATGTAAAACCGTTTGGCGGCACAAGCTGGACTTTGTTGCCATCCTTGAGATGAACCTTTTAAGAAAAAATAAGTTAATCTCAATTTTTCCCTGAATGTGTTGTTTTTTCTTCATTATACAATAAATATTCTAGTGAACTTTTTATCAAATGGTTAAGAAAATGCTAGAGGTTGTTGTAAAATATTTGTATCCTGCATTCACTAAAGTAAAGATATACTGGCTTTTACTGTGTATTCCAGACTCTGTCATATTTGCCTAGGATTAAGTAATTTCTCTTTAGAGAAAGTTCATCAACAGTCCTTTCTGACATCTGTAATCCCCTTTCCTAAACAAACAACCTTCTCATTTCCTCTTAGTTTTGTGTTGCCCTGCAGCCCTCCTTTATGTGGACCTATCAACTTTCAAAATGTTCAAGAAGGAAAACAGACTTTTTCCAGGGCTGATTACCAGACTCAGTTCTTCATCCCTCTTTTTCTTCTGCAAACTTCTAGTGGTTTCATTCACAAGCAGGTATAGGAAAGCCTCTTTTTTAGCTTATTTGCCTTTTCCTACTACTAATTTTCTAGAAATTTTGTGCCTCCCCCCCCATTATTTTCTATGTCTTCACTGCTACAAGACTCGGGTTTTACATGCACATATATATATTTATATATGAAAGTGGATGAATTCCTTTGTAACATTTAACATCCCAAATGAGAACCAAGACTGGGAAGTTTTGTACCAAGGGCAAGTGGCATGAAAGATATCGGAGATGATAGACAATAGAATACCTTACCACCCATAAGGCTACCTCCAAAGAAGAAGCAGGCCATCTGGTAATGTCATAACCAATCTTGCTAACTAGATGCTAAATTCAGTTTTTTACATTTGGTATCCACTAGTCGGATTACTAGTGGGTTATGGGGAGAGAGTGGAAACTCCTATAAGAGATAGTTTGGGGGTAGGGAGTGGTTGAAGGAAAACTTGAAGCCGGTTCTTCCCCTCCCAGAAAAGAAAACCTTCAGAGTATTATTTAAAAAAAAAAGTTTGTTAGAATCAGCCCTATTCCATTTTGTAATGAAAGAAACCAAGGACCCAGAGAAAGGAAAGTGACTTGCTTTAGGTCACAGAAAAATGTTTGATGATGAATTGAGGTCGAGTCAAATAGAATCCATATCTGTTACTTTCACAGAAGGCACCTTATTTTACAGAGAAGGAAACACAAGCCCAGGATGAGTGTCAGAGCAGGCCCTGGAACCCAGATTCTCCAGACTGCCAGTACAATGCTTTTTTAGCCAAGTTGCTGAAATCTGAAAGGGTCTAGCCATCCTGAGCAGTAGTACCTGGGTCTCAAGACTTCAGC